AGTCCCTCATATCCAATACGTGTTTCAAAGTGCCATACTCTTCCTAAGCCCACATCTTTTGTATTCTAACAGTGTATCACATAGAGAGACACACTGCTAAGCGCTGTACAGAAATATGATCAAAGCAACTCATTTTTTTTTGCAAGAATTTAGTTGATGAAAAGAGGTTATGTCATGTTAAGCTTTGTGTCAAGGCAATTTTCCAAAAGAAAAATTAAGTAAAAAAAATTTAAAAACAGAGACACAAATTGTATTATACTTAACACAACAAGAATAAACAAGAAACTTCTTAGCCCAAGGAAATAAATTGGTTTTAAAAAACCAATCATATGACCATCTACAGGACAATCTTCTATGAAACTATGTCATGTCATGTCATTTGCCAAACTGCTTTATACCGTACAGTGTCTTGGGAAGCCGAAGCCTAGCCAGCAAGCAACAAGGACAAGGCAGGCTACACCCTGGACGGGGTGCCAGTCCATGGTAAAGGCAAATGGACAGTTTTCCCAGAAGCCAATTTCCCTACTATTATGTTTTTGGACTGTGGGAGGAAACGGGAACACCCGAAGGAAACCCTCACCAACACAAGGAGAATATATAAACTCCACAACCTCCACTCCACTCAGATAGCGCCTCAGGTCTGAAACTGAACACAGGGCCCCAGTGCTGCTAGACAGTACTGCCAACCACTGTGCCATACTACTCCAAAATGATTTGGAATACTTCACACAGTACATTTCACAAGCTGTGAAACTTTGCACTCCTACAGCTCCCTGCAGCTGTTGACATCACTGGAATGATTACCAATCACACACCTCATCCATCAGTTATTAACTTACGGTTAAAATTATACATACGTTCTAGCAAAGAAGACAAGTCAAGCTTTAAGTCAATAACATTACTGTAGGTAACAAAAACTCTTACTCACATTTTATTGTAAGGCATGTGCACATTTTCTATTTAAAATGGTATATTGAAGTGAAATCACTATTTGCTAAAGTGACTCATAATACACAAGAAAAAAGTTACTTTCATGTGTGACACTGGTTACAATTTCAAGTCCAAAATGAATCATACTGGGACAAGTGCAAAGTAATAGTGATTCTCTGAAAGGCTTAATGTGCAGTAAGAAATTGCTGGTCTGAAAACTGTTTGCAGACTATGACAAAGAACCTCAGTTCTCAGACTGCAGTAACGGTATAGACTCAATAAACAAAGCTCTTTTACAGGAAGAAGGAGTTTAAAACTGTTTTTATGAGGACTAATGTATTGGTAGGGGTACTGTTATGGCTATTAATGCATGATGATGTTGCTAAAAGTAACCTTGTAACAAACTATTAAAAAAACAAAAGTAAAAAAGGCTGCTTCAAAATACAGCTTTTTCATTACTATTGATATCATTAGTATAGGTGATATCACACAAAAAGAATAAACAATGAATAATCAGAATATCCATCATCTATTTTTTACCTGCATCTTCCAGTTCAGGGTTGCAGAGGAGCTGGAGCCTATCCTGGCAAGCAACAGGCACAAGGCAGGGTACACCCTGGACAGGACGCCAATCTATCACAGGATTCATACACTCACACCACAGTCAATCTTCCCAGAAGCCAATTCACCAACCAGTATGTTTTTGGACTGTGGGAGGAAACCGGAGCACCCAGAGGAAACCCATTAGAGCGTGAGGAGAACATACAAACTCCACACAGATAGATATCAACCTAGTGATAGATAGCATCCACAAATTGACCCCACTTTCCTTGACATGTAACCTGTGACTCTCGAAACTCAAACTCCTGCTGCTTCAGTGACAGTCCTCTAGGCAAGTTCCTTCCAGAAGAATAAATTCAACGGCATTTTAAAATGAAAGAGAACACTTTGGATCAGTGGGCAGTTAGTAAGGACTGGTCTGGGAAAACTGTCCAGGACAAAGCTCTTTCTAGGGGGTCACCACGCACTTAACTGGACAGCTGGGAAGTACAGGTGTAAGGGCTTCCAGTGCCAGGTGAATATACAGACAGCAACATATGGCAAAGCAGAAGATTTTTAACTCACTTCATTTGTTGCTGCAGATAGGTGAGTAATTACAATAATAAAAACAAGCGCTCCAACAAATGCAGCAGGGGGAATATAGGACAAGAGGGCCACCCTTGCAGGCTGCAGGCCACATGGTCACAGGCTAGGGAGTCTTTATTGAGGGAAAGTGCCATTTGAGAACACTATCGATCACGGGAGGAAAATCGTATCGCTCTCTCACTACATCTATAATTAGGACTGTCAGCACCTTGTTAATGTACTCTTCCCAGAAACCTTTAAGTCATTGGCACCCAAAGCTGGCCTCATTTATAATCCACTTATCATGCTGTGAAAAACAAGGACCATTTAACTGATCAGTCTTTGTTTTTCAGCTGTAATAAATCTATAGTTCATTCACAATGTCACAGTTCTTAACTTTATGCCTACATACCAGGAAAAGGCTCTGTCCATACTATTCATTTAAACTATTCTAGCTGCTACATAAAAAAATTCAATACTGTTAACGTATACACTACCATACATCTAATACCATACCGCAGAACAGGGACTCCAGACTTAAATCCATCTACAAAAGTATGTTGTGTGGTCTGGGCAGACTCTTGACACTTAATACTGATGTGCATTTCTTTGTGGATCCTCAAATACCACCACATTCTTTACAGGACTTAATATTCATTTGGCCCATTGTGGTACTGTATTGATGTTCCCCCACACTACAGATATACTTTCACTTGAATATGTTTTTAAATCACTTTGCCAGTGCAGTGCACAGCCCTACACTAGTAGAAAATGTTTTTACTTTCTACGGTTAACTTCTTTTAAATTATTGCAGTTTTTTCTTTATTATTGAGAACAGCGTTTTAGTGTGGACATGGCCTGTTATCAAGTGCTCAAGTCTGCCTCCATCAGCTGACCCTTATCCGTTTCCCATCTCTGTTGTCAGATTCAACTCAGAATCGTTGACAGCATAATCAGTATTTATACCTCAACACAATTACAAGATGTATCCGAGATCCTTACTCTACCAAGCTCTCCAAATCAAAATATAAAACATGTTTGCTCAGGGAGACAAATCCTACAACTACTTTAAATGACTGAAAATAGTCTTTCATTGTTGTTTTAGTTGTTAGTCTAGAAAGGCTTTTTATGGTAAGCATTACTGTTGAAACACCCCTTTGTTAATGATAGCTCTTTTTTTGCAGTTCTAACAGTGGATCGCTATTTTCTTTTTAACTGTGCTTCCCGTTTACAATATACCACCGCGCTCCTGCAGATCGTTGGGGTCTTCGGAAATCCCTTATTTTCACCCTTAAGACTTCTAATTTTGTCTCCTGGGGAAACTGAGGTTGGATCAGGAAAAACTGATCCCTGGGTCTGAAACGCAGCCAGCTGCCAGCCACATAGCTGGTAATAAAGGATCTGTAACAACTCTGCATTTTATCATCTAATCTTCATCTAATCCAATCAGTGAGTTTCCACAGTCTGTAGGCAAAATCAGGAAGATGATCCTTATGCAGAGAAATAACTCTGCTTTTTTGGTTCAGAGAGCTTTAACCACAACTTTAACAGCCCAGCCCTGGACAGCCTGTAGCTTCACCACAAAACTGTCATAGTTTTTGTTATGGCAACAGGACTTAATCAAGGTATTCATATTTCACTGTAATCTGCACTTCACTTCATGAATAAAGTATCCAACAAGACTTACAGCCTCTTGTAACGCACCTTGAAAACCACCCCACTTAACTGAAATGCTTATTTGACGGTAGACAACAAAATGACGTTAGGTTTTCCTTTAGAAAAAGAGCACAGATAAAAAAAATGTCACCTTCAGATTCCTAACGTAGCTTGATACAATTAGTATAAGTTTAAAAAAAGCAGAAATTCTGGCTTGAAAGGAAAAACAATTAAATGTTGTTTGAATATAAGAGAACACGAGGATGTGCACAAATGCGTGTATTTTCCTTATGAGTAGATTAATTCTAATTGTGAAACAGATTTCACTCCTTCAGTGCGTCTGACCCAGAGTGTTCAAAACCTCCCACACACAAAGAGTCCCTTACTCTCTCATTTTCAAGGCATCAGCATGATGCAGATGTGACTGTAATTGCATTAAGATATGAATACTGCAACCTTCAGCAACTACACACCTTTTCACTACTTTTTAAAGGCCCTTAAGACTTCCTCTCTTTGAACAGCTATTTTTAACTTCCATATACATAAACAATTTTGGTTAAGAAAAAAACATTTTCTGAAAGCTACAGCACCAAAATTAAAAGCCACAAAGAAAACAAAAATGTAGAAATAAGCATACAATACCATTAAAAACCTATATCCTATATTTTAGTGTGAACAGCCATTTGGTATACAGAGCTACGTATGTGGAAAGTACTATGTGGAAAGAACAATGGTTTTAATGTTCCGATGTAAAAGAAACTGAGGCACACCCAAGTGTCTTTGTGCTTCATTAATGATCCAGCACCAGTAAACCCCGTTAATTTGCAGACTGACATCAATTAATAAGAACACTTAGAATCGTTCCTAGTGAAGAACTCTGCCATAAGCAGATAATTATATCACAGCATCTCAAAAGCACAAAGGAAGCTTCACAAAAGCACAATAAGAAAACTGTAGTCATGGTTGGAGGTGGGTTAAAAAATATTTCAAACTATTTTTATAACACAAATTCACGGCTGGCAGTTCCAAATCTAAACTCTTCTACCTGCCAAACGACATCATCTTCCACCTCTGTGATAAATAAACGCTCTTTAGCCATTCACTGAAGAGTTTTCCTTAACCATTCGTTGTCATTTTTAGCATTAGAGGGTGAGGGGTAATAATATCAAAGTACTCAGACTATTTTTTTTTATCGAATGATGATTTATGGCTTTGGCTAATGACTATCATAAGCATGTGTGTTGTGATTTGCAGGCACCACGGTGATATGAAATCAGTATCATTCTTACCTGAAGCTCTTTCCTAGTCTGAACAATTGTGCTGTCCCTCAGGTTTGAAGGCTTGGCTCCAGTTCATGAGGAGCACAGCAGGTCAGTATGCTGCATACAGAGAGAACAGCTGTTAAGGAAGGTGAAATAAAAATAAAGAAACGCTAGCCTTTACTTCGGCCGTTAAAGGCTTCCAACTCAAAAATTCTAATAAAAAAATCTCATCACAATGACAAGAGGGTCAAGAAGAAAAAGAAACACAACAGCAGTTTTTTTTTTTATTTAAATCCACACTGGTTTTAAAGGTGCTTCAAGGATATCTGAGCAAAAAATTTAAATGTTTTCTCCTCTGGGGGGGATAGCTGTGATAACTTTATAACAAACCGAGGTGCATATCATACAGTTTGCGTGGGGATTAGCAGTAAATCAGAAGAAAAGTAGATCCCCTAGCTACCTCAAGAGTTACCAGACCTTTCACTCCTAGAAACATATTCACCCTAGCCCCCACACAAACACAGCACACCAGTATGATGCAGAACTTGTTTTCTGAAATATCACGGGAATGTCACATAACTCACTCTTGAAATATCACTGATGCAAAAAAAAGCTGTGTCTGCAAATTGCTAAATTATATGCATTTAATAAAAGATATTGAAGCTAGAAGAACAAATGTATATTCTGCATATATGTGAGAAAACAGAAATAACAAGTGTGAAAAGCAGCACTCTATTATGAAAACACTTTAAACTTGCTAAATAACCTGCTTCACTATCATGTCTAGCAACAAAAGCTAGATCTTCTTGCTTGTTATTATGAAGTAAATAATTGTTGGGAAAACAGCCCAGCCCAGAGATCAAACCTCTGAACAACATACTATAAACAGGCATAGTGTGTGAACCCTTACAAACTAGGTTAGTAACATCTCCTATGCTTGTATACCAGTAACATTAACCTTCATTTAGCTGTCAGAATTGTAGAGTCACCATACAATAACTCTGCCACCGAGTATCATGTAAGATGTCTCATTTGCAGAAACCTTTGCAGTATCAGCAATAGAATCAACCTCTGTCCACTGAAACAAAACAGATATACTCAAAAGGAGGCTGAAAAATACAGAAAAGGACTGTGCCAGTTATGTGATCCGAAACTTCTTAGTCTTCCTCGGCATCATAGGCTATGAATTCAGCACTTCAGTCACTGTGTAACAAAAGATTTAGTAAGCCTAAGCCTTTTGGTCTCTACTTCCACAGCAAGGATCACTTGCCTTGGAGTATGACCCACACTATTGTGTTTAGTAAACATTATGACCCTCAGAGAAAGTACCTGGCTATTTTTAGTTTTTAGAAATTCAATCACAGAGATTTTTTCTTTTAAATTAAAGTTTCCTTGACCTTCGGGTCCACAGTCAATAAAGCAAGATAGGCCTAGGTTCTCTCTTACCTAGTCAATTGTGCAAGGAAAGTGAATAAATACACATCGTAATTCCTGACCAAAGCCAGCTATTAAATAAACAACAACGTGAAGCATGGAAAGTTGCTGCTCATGTCAAGCTTTATTTTTACCTTATTGATTTGGATGAACAAATCAAAATACATAATCCAGAATTAAAAAAAGACTTTTCAGAAACATAAACACAGTAAAATTGTCAATACATTGCATATTTCAACACGTTTCATGAAGGCAGACTTCAGTAAGGATGATCACAAATGATCGGTGCTACAAATGCACTGGAGCTGTCAATAACACTCTTAACGTTACTATTGAGTGTACACTCTTGACAGAAAGTAAAATTTCATTAAGTTAAGAACGAGCAAAATAAAATATAAAGGACATCAAAAATGCCTACATTAGTCTTTTTTTCACCCTGCAGAAACAGAAATCCAAGATGGCCATTACATTACAATATCCAGTCAGTACTGAGCCTGAAGCTATTCTGCACACACACAAAAAGCAGAACTGAGCTCCTGTATGAACAGAAAACAGTCCTAGTTGCCGGAATGCATGTTCACAGACAAGAGCACAGTGTATTTGTTCTTCGGTCTCCTGTCAAATGTGTTTCATGTTCAGGAATCCGCACTGAAAGGTGATAGTGCAGCACTGGTTGTGTTAAATACAAGAGCTGTAAAGTTTTAAAGAAAGTTCACCCTGGCTTTTAAACATGGGTCAGCATTTGCGAAGGTCCATTTCTGCATAAGTGAGCACACAAACCCTACTGCCTGTTCAAATAGTCTGGAGCTTTCAGAGAGGCAGCTCCTGACAACAGCCCAGCAGCAGTCTTGTTTGATCTCCAGTGTTTTCCTTAATCTGGGTTGTCAAGGTTCGCTTGTTGGAGGCTGTTTACTTTACTTCTCCTACAAAAAGTGTTTTTTCTCAGACAATGACTAATCCAAAGACCAAGGAAAAAGGAATTCTGCCAATGCAAGATGTTAAAGCCGCAGTTGCCTGCTTTTTCAATACGGTTTAAACCAGGTTCTGCTAGGCAAGGAGTATTTGGTAGGGTTTTTTTCTCTTAGATTTTTTTTTAGGTTTTCTGTGTGCATTTGGGTTTTTTTGTTGTTGTTTGTTTTGCATTTCTTAAACCTGATACATTGTGTTGTGTATTTTGGCATTTCCTTGAGGTAACACTAGTAAATATTTGCATACAAGAAATAATATACAATTCTCTATACTTGACAATTATTAGAAACAATGTTTAAACTTACATCTTTTAAAAAAATACCCAACACTGTTAAAATCTTCTTCTATCTGTTCTTGGAAATTTTAAGGTTGTAATTTCTTAACACTGTTTCTGCCTTACACTTAGTCTGATTTATCTGGAAAAGTACATCACGTTGGCCAAATAGCAAGAATAAGTATTCTGAATATTATTTTATTGTTTTGTCAAAAATGTCTGAACTCCCCTCTAAGGATTTTTAAAGGGCGAACGTAATATTCAAAGGTAAAAAAAATAAAATAAAGTCCTAGCATACATCAAAATATTCTACCTAAGAAGAATGAAAAAACTCCTGTTGCCTCACAGTTCTGTCCGATTGAATTATAGCATTGTTTCCGACTGAAGGTTTGCTTTTAAAAACATTATCAACGCCAAAACAGGTCTTCAGCCCCTTAATACATATTCTGCTTAAACTGGTATGAATATCCACGTTCATGTAAGAAAGTATTGTTTCAAAAACTTAATGTTCTTCCTGCAAATGATACTGCGTGAGAATTCGTACTGTACCGCTGACAGACTAGTCCATGTACAGAAATGAGATTTTTATTTTCTAATACGTTCCAAACCTGTTAGACAAGTATATACCACAAGCTTTAAAACAGGAGATATCATGCAATATGTACAATTAAACACTGTAAAACACTTCAACTACCAGAGCCATATTTCCTATAAAGTAATGTATTGTAAAGCAAAGGGCCTTTATTTAAACTTCTTACGTACAATAGTATGTTTTAACAGTGTAAAATGTGCGCCATTAGCCATTGTCAAAACATTTCCGAATGCGAAGAACTTTTCCCCAAAAAATCTTCAAGGTGAGGCAGTTCAGTTATATTTTCCCTGATGTTGGTTAAAAGATGTTATCCCCAACTGCAAAAAAACAAGCGATCAAAATAACATTTTACTGTAAATAAGCATGAGACAACTACTCAAAGCAAGAATCCCCCCCTCCCCAAAAAAAACACTACACGTTTGTTTCTTCTCTATATGCTCATGAACACTGAGAAACTTCTTCTCAAGCAATATATAAATACGAATGGGCTGATTCATTATAGAGAGCTAACATTCACTAAATCCCTAAACTGAATACATGTATTTGATGTACTTAAGTATAATGTTTAGCATATGAATGCGTTTTTATTACTGCATTAAATGTGTAATAAGTAAATGCATAATGCTGCCCTCTTTCATAAAACTTCATAGTTAATCTATCAAAGAACATTACTAACTTTCTGATCTGAAAACAACTCGGTCGAAAGCGTAAATTTACGAAAACGTGAGCGAAAACTCTACATTCAGTTAATAGTATTTTTCTCCGAACTTAAGAAATGCAAAGATGAATTAAATAGTGGTGATCGTTTTACAAGTACAATTAAATAGATGATGAAATGCGACCAATACCGAATTGTTTAGGACAGCATGCATATCCAGACTACGCGCTTTTACCAGATATACCCCTATCCAACTATTAAAGGCATTCTCCACTTCTAATCGCACCATGTTGACAAATGTTCGTGTATTGAAACACTCACGCTCATGGCTTAAAAAAGTTATAACACCCTACTCTGATGAATGCAATACAGAAGCATAAGCGATGTCTGCGGTTTTAAAAGTTAACACGTGGGGAATTAGACGAACTTCTTTACTTGTAGCCCAAAAGCAAATCACAGCACCCACCACCCTACCCAGCTCTGTCCAGTGTGTGCTTCTAAAGTTAGGAAGTTACGGTTCTGCGTGCAACCCATACACGTTTATTATTAAAAGTTCATTTCACTCCCTACATGCCTAGATGACACTGTTTGTGAACATTAACTTCGCTTTCCGTGCCCAAAGGAATGAGAAAAAATAAGATCAACTTGGTAACTTCCCCCCAAAAAAGTAGGAGCTACCGTATCGATAGCAGCGCTACCATTGTCACGCTCAAGAAAAACATCGCCCCTGAACCCCTGCAACAAAGAGAGACAGACAAGTAGTCAGTCCGCTCTCATGCAAATTTGTTTTGGTGTTGTTTGTTTGTTTGTTTGTTTCGCCATCAAAAACAATAACAACAACAAGGGGGCAAAGCGAAAAACAGGCAAACTAAACGAGCATGCGAGAGGGGAAGCCGGCTCTGTGTTCTTACAAACGAGAGTAACAGAAGAAAATAATTTGCCAACTTACCGAGTATGAAAAATGGTTGATCAACGCAGAAGATAATTTGCTGGGCTTGTAACAATCAACTACACATGCGATCTTGTGTACCAAGAAAGCATGCAACAACCACACAGTAAATAACAATATTACTCCGCTTGGGGGACTAACTTTAGCTGCAACAAGCAATCTCTGTATGGCTCACGGAAAGCACTGTTTCCGAGCAAGAATCCAGAGTTTCACACCGCGATCTGCCTCGAATCTGAAGCCCAGCTCCTTGTGATGATATTACATTTTAATGCGCCTTGAAAGAAAAGGGGAATCGCGGATTTGGATGTTGTTATTTTTTGATGTTCCAAGTCCCTGACGTCATATCCACCTGCTGGGTAAACAACATTCATTGCAGATCTTCATTGAAAATCTAGAAAAGAAAAAAAATGACGGGGACTCAGTTCCAATTAAAATGACAACATGCTTTAAAGTCGAGCCGTGAACATAAATGCGTTTATGGAAGTAAAAAAAGGGGAGGTGGTGGGAGACATTAGTGAAAAGCGATTGTTAAAAAAAGTGAAAGTGCCTAAAAGCTAATTACAATTGAAGCAAAAAGCAGCTTTCTTTTCTTTTTTTTCCCTGCACTTTGTCCAATGAAAGGAGGCAAGTTCGGGAGGTGAAAGTTCACTAGAAGGACAGACCCATGTGCAAGGAAGTAGAAAACAGTGCCAATTCTGGGTGTTATTCGAGACTGGTGGAGAGATACATGGCATTATTTTAACACCATCTTCAGGAAACTATTCATGATGTTTCAGAGGGGTCCGCCATGAAAAATGCGGGGGTTAAGAGGATGTTTATTTAATTTCTGTAACTCGGCAAGAATAGGAAAGTATGCAACTTCCCTATAAATAGTCCGGCTTTTTTTGGTGTTGAAATGATGTAGGCGGTTTCTTAAGCAAGGTGAACTATTTGATACATGTTACGGGTGACTGCGTACAGAACTGTGAAGTTTAATCTCTTTAGCCAACAATAATTGATATATCATTTAGTATTTTTTTAAATATTACTCATAATGCATAGGTATGAATCCGAGAACAATTTAAGAATATTAAGTTGTGTATTCAGGAATGAGTAGCATTCGGCGTAGCAATGTTCAATTCAGCAGTTTCTTATGCAAATTGGGTTACTTGCTTTTCCCCATTCAATATTGTGCAGATTAAAATGTAGTCTCTACCCATGTTTGAAATATGAAACATGATGAACATATGGATAAATCGGTCGTACTCCTTACAGCATCCACTGTTATGGCACATTACATCGAAGGCAGAAGAATAAACTTCGTAGGTGTGAAGTCATTATAACATTAATTACAAATTACTCATTTCTCCCCCTAGAAGAAAATGATTGTGGGTCGGTTCAGTAGTCCGATTAGCGGTTGTCGATAGCGACATTAATCTAAAACTCAACTAAAATATTTTTGAGTCTCACTGTCCTTGATCAAGGACTGAAAAGCACAGTTCATTTAATTATTAAAAGACGGTAAATTTATTATGGGGCTACATCAACGAGAGCGAAGTCTCCCTCTTAACTTTTCTGCAATACTATTTGTAGGGTACAGAGCGCCACCTTTCGATTGCAGTGTAACCTGAGGTAATACTTTGCAGTCTAGTATTCTACCGTTTCCAGCGCAAAATATTTTTTTCTTAAAAAGCGGAAACATGTTGTGCCTTAGAAATTCAAAAGTCATTACGCTCCTCCAACTCAAAATATTTATTATGTTTTTTATATATATGTACAGACATAATATAGGACATTATTTTTACTATAGGTCTTTTATTTGAATTGAAAAATTGGTTGACTATTATCTAGTATTAAATGGCGAGTTAAACAGTTTCAGAAATATTATAGACCATCCCCACAAATGTTAGCTAAAAGTACAAATCAAACTGAAGATGAAAAGGTTTGTTGTAATTTGTGGTATCATTTTGCTGTAACCTTCAATGAATGTTTCCTCCTACGCCTCTGCTGGAATAAAGTGCTCTGACCTGTCAAATGTTGGATTTGTTAGGGCACTGTGTGTGTTTCATTGATTAAATCTTCTAAACATAACTGAGTGAAACACAATTCCTTGAAGTGATTGTCATAATAAGGAATTATCCATCACTTTGCTTGCAAAATCAAAGCCTGTCCTAGCAAGAAAAGCATAATGGTTATGTCTTTTAAAAATGACCGTGTCTTAAATTTTCCATCGTCTTGTTGTTCATGTGGAAAAGTATGAAGGTTTATTGCGTTAAATATACAATAAGACAGTTCTGCTGGCCTACTTTCTGAGTGTTGATCACAGTCTCCCTTTTCCCTTCCTGCTATTTACAAAGTAAGACTTCTTGACTCTCAGTACAAGCATGATTATTTTAACTTGTTACATTCATCTAGGTAGAATTATACTAAAAGAAACAAATGCGTTGTTTTCAGGCCCTATAAACAAAGGTATTGTTCTGCTGCTGCAAGCAGTGAAGTAAAACCCAACTCATTCAAGATTAATGCCGATGCAGAAATTATCCAAGATCAATACTTTTTTTTTTTATTGGTGTTATTATCACATTACCTTTTGTCTTTGGAGTTGAAGACTATGTGCAGACTGACAACGGGAGTTGAATCTGGCAGTGTTGAGATTTAATGAACGTTCAATGTGAAGGATAATGCTGAAGTGCAGACAGCATAAGTGAATACCACCAGCCAGGCCCCACATGTTTGCAATCTCAGTTGCATAAGAACCACACCGATGCCTCAGCACGCCTCGTCATGTTCTACACCTCCTGCCAAATGCCCGGTGCGTGTTTTCGCATGTTTCTGTGTTTCTGGACTTGTGCAAACATTGCCCCAGCTTCTCCCATTTGTTCGAGGCAGTGTCCACAACGAACCATCAAATCATGGAAAGGATCTTGTGCAATGCTCTTTGGGCTTGTATTCATCTACCAGTCATTAACCCCTTCAAAAACCCTGTATGATGTGATGGGTCAGCTGAGTAAATTCTAACAGAACAGTGCTCAGTGTTGAGGCCATTGATGTCTTCAGTTGTCGCAGTAAAGTTCTGTGATGCCTGTTTAAAAAGCACTGTATGAATGTAAACTATTGTCTGTTGTACTGTATTGTACTCTTCTATAGTACATGGCAGGACTTCCACCTAAGTACTGCTGTTCTCACTTAATTGAGTCTGAATTAGTTGAGCCTGCTGCTGAACGTTCATTAAATAATTAATGATGAGCTGAGACTTACCGTGGAATGCAATGCAAGTCCTACCATTGTCTGCCCACGTTCTAAATGGCTGCTTTTACAGTGGGTAGCAAGCAGTCCCTATTTGACACTGGTAAGATGAGAGCTCAGTTATTTCAGTCCAAACAGCTTTGAAAATTGCCGAATATATTATATATTTTAGCTCGCAATATTTCAGTGGATATTTACCAGTTAACAATTAAAGTAATACAGACATGCCAGGAACATTTTGTAATGTTTGAATATTTATAAAAAGATAGCATTACAAGAGATTTTAACAGAACCAGTTGTATATCCATAAAAATACATATAAAAACTGCAACATAAAGTACCTTGTAATAATTGATAAATACAAAACCAAGACTTAAAATGTAAGGAATGTCCCATGCCTTTTATTACAGAAAAAAAGTTGCTTACTTTTTTCCGACCTTCAAAGAGTTCAAATACCCAAACTATATGGAAATGAAAAAATAAATTGTTATATATTTTAATTCTATCCTTCCACGCCTCCATTGTATCTTTCAAGATCTGTAACTCTCAGCTTTTGCATTTACTTTCAGAAAATGCAAAGCAAATTTTGCTCTTGATCGGAAAGCTTTGAAGATTACCATGTAAACCACTTGCAGTATGGCAGCTGAACAGCCCAGGTAAGGGTTTTGATTGCCTACAATGAATTTGAAATCACTTTATTTTTGTACTTCCAGGAAACAATGAAATGTTGAGAGAGAAATGTCCCACGCAGCCACCCCTGAGACCTGCCTGTGCAACACAGACTCAACCTTTCTAAAGCAGGTTTCACAAGAAAAGTCAAACCAGAAAGCAAATGTGAGTCTTGCACACTTCAGAACCAAATATCTCATGTTCTGCTTCCTGAAATGGTTAGCTATGAACAATGAAGGATTTTAGTGCCCCTCTAGTTGATAAAACAACAAAAAAAAATATTTTTTCACTAAAATAGTGTAGGAATGACGCTTGTGATTTATATAAAAATCTCACAGTAACAACTATACCAAAAGGAACAAGCATAAAAAACCCAAGACCAACATTGCATTTAGGAGAACCTTTCAGTTATATTTTCCATTAATTGGGCATGTAAATATTATTTGTGTCTCATGTGTGTCATGAGAGGCTCTAAATATGCAACAAATAAATCCTGGAGCTTATAGGATTTGTTACTTATTAATTGCCTTTGATTAAACATATATTTCAACACAAATGCATAAAGTATATGCAGACAAAGAGTTTCTTTGCCGAAGTGTCATAACAGAATTTTGACAATGGTTAAATGTCCAGCACAAAATTAGTAGCATTTTAACTTTATAAATATCCTAAATATGATAGAACTTGGAGTTCTGACCTTGATTAGTCAGGATCACTTAAAAAGTCAAATATATTTCCTAGAGTGCTGTTTATTTCTGTTCAGTGTGCATTTGAAAACATTGGTTAATCCAATCAACATTAAAAGGAATCTTTGCCTTGCAACAGAACCAGTACCAAAAATAGGATTTTCAGAAGTTAAAATGGCTCCTTTCCCATTTAAAATGTGTTTAATGATATGTAGATAAATGCACATAAAAAGACGAAGAAGTCTGAAGTAATCTACACATTTTACAAAATTACCGCATGGCATTAAAAGCAATATTCTGTGTGTTGGTATTTAGAAAGAAAAGTACTAAATAAAGTGAATTAACCTACTACAGAAAGTTCAAAATTACAGTAAGAAAACAAGAGCACTTCCCTGTATCTTCATAAACTCACCTCAGTTTGCAAATGCTGTCTTGCTTAAATGTTGTATCGGGCATATTTTATAAGTATGTTGAAATTAAAACTAGAGACTGTTACAGAGTACTCCCTGTATGTTACAGGAAATATGAAAGATAAATCATAATAAACTATGTGAATAATGATTCCTTTAAAAGCAATTAAATACAAAATGAAAATTCAATAGAACCATTTGAATTATCTCCTTGCTTGCATCACACTAGGCTGCCCAAGAGAGCATAACATAAATATTTTTTTTGTCTGAATCATTTTTGACATCCTGTAGGTATGACTTTATAGATGCTCCAGGATTAGGCCATGGGTTTTGATAAAGTAGGCTTTCTTTTATAGAAAAGAAAACTAATTGAGGATTGCTATCGGTTATGTAACATCCTCTTTATACACATTCACACATACAACAAAGTAATTAGCTCTCTGTTAATTAGGTAATTAAGCAAATGCAGAGAATCTACTTTCAATTTCCAAAGGGACAGCTTTCAAATTATATTGTACCACTACTGCTCAGGGCATACTGAAATATGGAAGAACAATGGTAATAGATTACTGAATGTTCTTCAGTGAATTTAATTTACAGTAAAAACAGTTTTCAGTTGTAAAAAAAATGTAAAGGTCACTTATGAAATTAAGACAGTGCATGAAAAATGGCAATACAAACAAGTCTTGTATTTCCTTTTTGAATCAGCAGAAATCTAACAGCCACAAAGTAACAACATTTAATATCACTAATAATTAAAAGGCAAAATGTACAATTTTAAATATATAGCAATTCTATCCATATTACTGCTGATGTAAAAGCTTTTTCACACGCAGCGTCAAGAAAGAAAACATTGTATGTATATACTACATTTTGCTCATTTTACTAAAACTATATAGATAAGACTTTATTGATCCCGAAAGTAAATTGAGGCTATATGTCCATGATCAGAAAGGTGCTTACTCCTGGTAAAGTTTGTGACAACCCAGCAGCTATCCTTGAATCAGAGGACATGAGGCAAGACTGCACACTGGACAGAGCACACACACACAACCTAGCATTTATTAAAACCGAATTACTGGAAATGGGCTTCTACAAAACACTGTGAAAGTGAATGTCTGGGTGTAGTTCCTATTAGTGACACTGGGTGGAGACAAATTAAAAAAACTGAAGCTGGGGGGGCTAAAATTAAAAAGGCAATCTTGCAGACAATCATTAATTTTATGTATCAAACCTCTAACACAGTTTTTTTTTTGCTTACCAAATAAAGTATCTGACCCCATTTAATTTGGCATTAAAATGTTGGGACAAAAATTTGCAAAATTACCAAAGATAATTAAAATACCTGCTTCTACAGTATGTGTGAGTGATCTATGTTCACAAAAAAACATGACAGAAAAAGAATATAGGGTTATATGAATCCATAATTATTATATATATAATATACATATGTTTTCCAAAACAATCTCACCAAAATATGAAATCCAAATGAACCACTCTTCTTAGAAATAAATAATAATCCAAATCGTACAAAGAATAATAATAAAACCAGAAATGACTTCCCTTTTAATTTAAATGAGAACAATGCTGCTTTAGTTTGTGTCTTGAGATTTTGTAAAGAGTTTCTGGAAAAAAATAAAAACAAAAATCTTCAATCCTCATGAAACATTACGATTAACAAAGCAAAATGTTTAAACATATAGCTTTAAATTTCCTAATTTATATATATATTATATTTCTTTAATGAACAAAATCCACAGAATACAATAAGAAGGGGGAGAAATTCTAACTACTCAAGAAAAACTAATCCATGACAAAAATCCATGTTTCTTAAAATATTTTAAATAGTGAAAAGGTGTTCAAGGAAACTGAACCCACACACCCATTACATTCTACTCTCGTATGATTTACAGAGAGGATTGGGAAATGAGTACATCCATTTCCAAGGTAAAATAAACTGTACTGTGCCCTTTGGTCTCTAGAAGAGAATGCACAATGCTGTAAAGAAAGCACTGTTTGGAGAAGTAAAAAACATTTAATGTGGTTATACATCTATAATGTAACTGTACATAGCATTACCCTTAAGTAATCTTTGGCAACATCCTTCACATTTGAGCAAACACTTCTGTAGCCAAATATTCCATCTCGAGATCTTCTGGCTTCATATGCGTGGTGTTCTCCTTACAGCCTTGTTTCCAGGACTTGTTAAGGGATCCTCAATATTGTTAAACCAAAAGAGATTTAGCAGATTTTTACTTACTGATGCTAATATTGCTGCTATTAATGCAATGCAGGAAAATGTATTTTCTGCACTTTATTTTAAAAAAAATATTTTTTAGTTGAGTGGCTAATTAGCTTTTTTTTCTTACGTGCCCCTTGAGATTCCTTTGTGTTGTATAAAACCTGAAAAAAAACCTCTTGCAGTGTAAATAAGTTCACACATTTTCCCCAGTGATTACTACTCGGGGGTTCATATTTATGTTTTGCATGAAGATGTTTTCTCAATAAAGAGAGGCTTGCATATAATGTACTTCTCAGAATAGAAATGATCAAATTGGTTTTAAGTGTGGTAAATTTAAAAATACTTTCTGCTAAAATACAGAAAGCATTGCAGTTCAGACAAGTTAAAAAGGGAAAACCAATAATTCTTTAAGCAGTATAAAATGCCTTAAAACATCAATTTACTCCATGTTTTTGTGTAACAAGTAGTCTTCACTTAAAATGGATACAAAAGCAGTACATCCTAAGCTCCTGTTTCTTCACCCATTTTGATACACACTTTACATTAAACAAATCATAACATTTCATCCTAAGTCATGATTTAATCATAGGATAAACGTACAATTGTAAACACGGTTAAGTATTAGTTTCTCTCCACGTCACTGCAAATTCATGAAAGTCCTTATATTTAATGAAATTTTAAAAAACAAAAGGTGAAAGTAAAGACATTTTAAAGTCGTAAATTTTATTTTTCCGAAACCTACAAGCAAAAACGTTTAATCAAAAACTAAAGTTCAAATAGACAGCACATTCTATAAGGCTCAAACCCTAAGAGAACACAAGGCACCATTCTGTTCTGTAAAAAAAAATAACCAGTATGATAACTCCAACAGAAACCACTATCATATTAAAGACAAAAATCAATTTGTGTATTGTAAAAGGATGGTTTAATAAAAGGATAATTGGTGCATTTGAAAGAATCGCTTTTATAGCTTTATGTGCCAAACATTTGATTTTGTAAAATATTACTAACATAACATTGTGCTTTAGTGCATTTTCACATTGATAGACCTGAGATACAGAAGAACAGGCCTCATGACTGACTTTAATCAACCTTGACAAATGTATTTGGATAAAAACGCAACATTCGTGGCCAGAATACATTTTAAATAGTATGGATTTCTTTAAGAAACATTTTTGTAGAACTTCAGACTGCACAAAAACAATACAAAAAAAAACTTAAACCTGTCTACCACTGTTCTTAAATATACACTTGCTGAACGAGAATGGGGGTCTAGCAATAGGTCTGGCAGGACAAGTGTACATTCATATACTCTCATGCAGCACTCTACCATACATGTAAAACATCACCTCTTTGGTTACAGAGTAATTAATGTTCAAACTACCCCGATTTGTAGTCATAATACAGGCATTTTGGAAGTACATCAAATTATTTTTTAAAAAGTAATGAACATTTATTAGAATTTGCAATACAAGTGTCTCCAAAAACATTTGAAAACCAAACAAGTAAAAAAAAAAAGATTACAGCAGAGAGCAGACAACAAAAATGTTCTTCCGGTTGCAGAAAATGTAACAGAAGGAAATGGCAGAAGAATATGACCTGCATTATGAAGTACATGATCTGGGTGAAGATGTTATCTTGGGGGAGTTTCCAGTAAGGTAACCTATTTATTCTACGTGCAGCACACAAAATAAGAGGAACTTTCCAGTATAGATCATAACCATAAACACATAATATGTAATATTCCTTAAATTAGAAAATCCTCATATTCATTCTATATGCGCTACAAATTGTCACAAGTGTCATTATCTGTTCATCTTTAAACATCTGCAGTTTTACATTTTTTGTTAATAAAGGATATTTCACAAATTCAAATATATACATAATAAAAGGGTTAGGTTTCAGCAAACTTTGTGTCAGTTTTTAAGGCATTGAACATTAGATGCTACATGGCTCCCACAATTAGGTAATGCAGTCTCAGGATTAAAAAACAATAATTTAGGTGAAAACTAAACATGGACAAACCTAATGGACTATTTACAATAACTACATAAGGAGTACTTACTGGTGTCAAAACCTCCAGTTGCATTATGAGATAGCTTTTTAAACTTCCCAATATCACAGCTTAACAATGAACTTACTTCTGGTCTGAAAATCATAGCAGTACACTTGACATGAACTAGAAAATCATTAAGTGTATATTGAAGATACTGTTGAAAAATATGTACAATCAATTGGCACCACACATAGAATAAACCGATATACCATACTGTTAACACAGTAGACAAAAAGAAAAACCCATACAGTGCAACTGAAATAATGAAAACCAGTGCAGTGTCTTTCTTGAAATTAAAAGAAGCTGTGAAGTGAACTGTTTTCATGGGACCAAGGAACTATCCACATTATTGAACACTCTAGGAATGCTTATTAAGATTATTTATGATTGAAAGCAAAAAATGCAAATGATTACAGATCAATTAAAAGAAGCAGATTCTGTGTAATGTGCACTTCTGGTTTAAAGTGTTAATTGTAAAACACCCCTTGGATATCTTACATTGCAAACCAGTAAAAACTTTTCAGTAAACTGTAGATGAAGAAAATGCCAAATGAAATAATATCAAAAGCACTTAAAATTCCACTACCTTTAAGCATCCAAATTGAATAAAAGCTTTAGTTTTCTCCAACTGCTATTTTCTCAAGTTACTGCAGTTAATGAACAAGTGAAAATATGAAACATGCTTTCTTTTGGGATTTGGATTACAGGATGAAGTTATTTAAAATATTTTTGAACCTATCTTACACTTTATCAGCAGAGATGGTTGTTTTTCTTATTTTACCACAAATCATTTCAAAGTAAAGAAAAAAATTCTACCGTAGTGTGTAGGCTATGAAGAAGTCCAGTCTGGTTTCTAAGCTCAACTCACAAACAAAAAAGTAGATACACGTCAAAATAGAGAGACAGTAGTGAAATAATACTGTAATTACTTTGTAATCATGTGATATTTACACTGAAAAACATGTAATTACATAAATAATTGTATAACCAATATTGTAAATGCATTACGTACATTTTACTTCAGCAATGTGTATTACTTCAAGTTTAAATGTGTATCTACATTTTTAAACATTACCAATATTGCACTGTAGTTACACTTTTTAATACATGTAATTGCACGTAATAATCCTATGACTGAACCAGAAATCACACTGTAAGTGTAAGCTTATAGCATGGTATTCTATATTTGCAACTCGTTTATGTTAATAATTACATAATGCTGTTACACTATTGGTCATCTGATTATGTAAATAGATGTATTTCAAAGTGTAAATACCACATAAATTACAGGGTACTGTAATTACAGTGTTAATACATTGTAATCAATGTCACGGTATTTTGAAGTGTATCCAAAAAACTGTAGATTTGTACAGGACATTAATGTCTTGATCGCCCTCCTTCAAAAGCGTGATGCTCCTCATGAGCTGAAAAACAAAATAACATTCAGTTTTAAACTAAAAGAACACAAATATTTAATTTTAATGCAAAGATAAAACTAATAAATGAAATACAGGGTTACATTCATTTTGCAACTTTCTGTATAACTATATGTTCACCCTGCTCATTTTATAATATTTTAATGGGAAATTAAGTAGCTTGTTAAATGTTTCATATTTTTAAAAAGCTTCACATTTTTTGCTTAACAAGAATCAGAATACTGTACTTTGTTAAATAAAAGCATTTAATGTGAGACATTTGCTTCACAAAAGCCAAAACCTTTGTGGGAAATGTCAATTTAAATTCCACAGACATAGATAATGCTATGTTCAATATACTTACGTTTATAAAATACAGCTTTAAAAGATATGTGGGGGAGAAGCTCATGGATCTTCCCTAAAATATTAGCTTCACTTGCAAAAGAAGCATTCACGTTCCATACTTGAACAACGTCTTCTCGCTCCCGAACACTAACACTGACACCAACTACTTCATCTTCTAGAGAGAGAGAGATACTGACTGTGAGCATTGTATCATTTCAGGTTCACTGTAGTGTGCAATCACTCATATGATTATATGAGTTATACACTCATATCATATTGTGTCTGAATTCACAAAACTAAAAAAAACTCC